ACTTCCTACCTTCTCCAGGGTCGCAAGAACTCTGTTGCGCTTCTCCCTAGGATGTTGGTGACCCACGAATCTTCTCCCCCATATGACCTGGATGGCACCCCCTTCCTCTGGGCCCCCTCCCCCTACATGGTTGGGAATTGTGGCTAGTCAACTCTCAGAAGAGGTAAGGCTGGAGTATAATCTCCCTTGGGTGTTAGATAGGGATATTTCCAATGATGGAGTGGACGGAGAGTCAGCAAAAGAACTGAGTGGGCTAAATAGGGGAAGTGTCCTTGGGCGGGAAAGAGTGGCTGATTGTGAGGGGACAACTGGGGCAGATGGGGTTTTGAATTGGTACAAACCAGGAGGGGGAGCCCTAACCGGGGAACTGTCTGTGGAATTCTCACGGGGGCCTGATAGAACAGAGCGAGAAGGCACCCCGGTATCAAAGAGGGGGCGAATAAAGGGGTCCACAACTATCCTTCTGATGGTGATGCCCCGTTTCTTTAGACAGGATTGCATTGTCATTAGCTCGCCAAGCCAACGGTTGTCTTCGGGTGTAATTAGAAGACGAGAGGAGCGGTCAGGAGATTGATAGTCCCTCCGCAGCCATGTTATGGCCTCCAATCTTATATCCCGCGGTCTTTTTCCTAAAATTTGGGCTAATGAGTCACAGACCGCCCTCCTGGAGGTCCATCTGCCTCTGTTTATCATTAGGTCAGCAATGTCCACCGCAAAATTGTCTGTTAGGAGATGTTGGTCCTGGGCAAGAGCTGCGGTTAGCTGAACAGTATGATCTGATGTTACATTATTAGTTGTCCTTAGGGAGCCTGTCAAAGTCTGCTGCCACTCCCTGATGTTCTCATTCCTATGTATGCCCGACAACCCTCCCCCTCCCTCAATCATCCCATCATCCATTCCTCCTTCCACTCCAGGGGCCAAGGTGCCGTTCTCCCCACTAGGGCCCAAATCCTTGGCCAGATCCGCACACAAAGGATTGTCTGTCCGTAGAGGATCGGATTGCACTGAAGTTCCTGATAGGGAGGCAAAGCCACTGTCATGCAGTTCATGTAGTTGTCCTCCCTCTTTCTTCCACTGAAGAAGGCCATTTCATTAACATAAGCGATGAACTGCCAATTTAGCTGCAGTTTTATCATGATGAATGAATACACAGCTGCATTTCCATTAAACATCCCAGAATTCTTGGTCAAGTAACTAAAAATTCAGTATGGCCAAAGTGTTTTCTGCAACATATTATCAAAAATTTGTTTAATTTTAATACATTTTTAATATTACCAGAGAGATAGCTTACATTGCAATGATGTAGTGACTCACAATACACATACATTATGACGAAAGTGCATCTGTTCAGTACAAATGAAAACCACAGATATTGTAAAGTTTGGCTTGAATGATTACAGTATAATTACACAATGGTGCAACTTTGCCTAAACTTTGGTTACTGTAGGTATTCCACTTACTGACCAAAATAGAAAAGTGAACCCCAAGAATAAATATGCTTATAAATTACCACTGTATGTAAACACCACACAAAATAAATACATAAACAGCAAAGAGAACCTCTCCCCAGTGTTGTTTGCAGGAACATTTCCATATTTTCCCAATTGGATTTTCAGTTTGTTTTAGGAAATGAGACACAGTGTCATGTAGATTCCTCTCTTCTTTGTCTTCCATTTTACAAAAGGAGATTAAAAGCTGCTGCTTTCACATGAAGAACAATTCAGCTCTGCTTAAGAACTCAAGAAACAACAGTTGTTGTGACAAAAGTTGGTTATAACAAACCACAGTTCTCCAAATCCACCCTTAAAGGGAAACATTAAGCTTTTCACCCATAGAAACAAAATATTGTTCTCATCTAATGTCTGAAGGTTAAAAAAAGACCAGATATCTTGCAACTCATACACATTTCAACTAAACTAATGAACTGAACTGGGTCTTTTTGGAATTTAGTTCTTCTTTTTGTGTGTCAGCTCCCCAAATCTCCAGTCAGTATGCTCAGCGGCCACACTTGTTGCAATTCCTGGAGTCATAATTCAGAAAGAAAATTCCCAAACTCCGCATTTTACAGAATTGGATTGTAAACAACTGTATTGTCGAAGGCTTTCATGGCTGGAATCACTAGGTTCTTGTGGGTTTTTTCGAGCTATATGGCCATGTTCTAGAGGCATTTTTCCTGACGTTTCGCCTGCATCAATGGCAAGCATCCTCAGAGGCAGTGAGGTATTAACCAAGGGTGCATCTACACTGCAGAATTAATGCAGTTTGACACCACTTCCAACTGCTGTGGGGTCCATCTACACCGCAGAATTAATGCAGTTTGACACCACTTCCAACTGCTGTGGGGTCCATCTACACTGCAGAATTAATGCAGTTTGACACCACTTCCAACTGCTGTGGGGTCCACAGCAGTTGGAAGTGGTGTCAAACTGCATTAATTCCACAGATATATAAACCCCCTTTCCAAGTTCCAACAGACCTCACTACCTCTGAGGATGCTTGCCATAGATGCAGGCGAAACGTCAGGAAAAAAATGCCTCTAGAACATGGCCATATAGCCCGAAAAAACCCACAAGAACCTAGATAGTTCATTAGTTGTACAAGCTTCTAGTTTATTCTTCATGCTTCAACTAGGACTTGTAATTTGGCTCAAGATGTTTATTTTGCTTTTGCTTAACCAGAGACAGGACATTTTAAGCAGCTTAGATATAGTTATGTAATAGTTAATCTTACTAGTTAGAGTGTGAAATCAAAACAGGTCCCTCAAAAAATATTTTATAAATTAAGTAAAGACATTACCAGATGATTTCAGTTTCTTGAACACAAGGCAATGAACCAAAATTGAAGGATCGACTTTTCCCCATTGGGTTGAAATCCTGCAAACAGTTTAACCTACAGAACATCCAGTGATGGCAACAGTATATCAGTGCCTGTGAATTGTAGTCAAGTTACCAGCCCAGTGCCAACTTCTTGCTCTTAATTTTATTATCTGGCCTTTTATCTTCAGCTGCAGTGTAAATATGGCATATATGTTTGCACAGCCCTTCTAATGAATACTGTTGGTATCATACAAAACAATGTGGTCACAATTTTTCCCCTTAACACCAAATATCACAATTCAGAATTTTATATACACATAAGGATTATATACTGGTTCTATTCATGAAGCAAAAACATATTGTAAAAACTATAATCATCATACATATTTCTGTCAGCATATTATGCTGTCATCTTTGGTTACAGCAGCACAAGGATCATTTGATCTTTCTGCATTTTGCTAAGAATAATCCCATTAATATTAATACAGTGGTACAAATAGCAAATCTTTACCACTGCATTAAAGCTTCACTAACATCACAGTGCTTTCTAGCTTGTAAATTACGTCTGTTAAACACTGAACTGACATGTTTACAGTTATGCATTTATAAAATGCATATATTAATTGTTGTATGTTCTGTCACTACAACAATTAATACTGAATGTGGATGCATTGATATACTGGCAATGCTCCTTTTTTTAAAAAAAAAATCCCCATATATGAAATTAACATATGCAAGTCCCATTCTGAAAGGTTATAATCTCAAGGAAGGAGAGATCCAAAGAAATCCCCCAGTTCTCTGACTTTCAAATATATGCAGAATTAAAAATCTAGGAAATGGGAAATGATGAATATTCCACTCGCATTTCCACAGTGAAAGCATACTGGATAAGGCAACACATAGAATCTATCCACTGTTTCTTTATATACATCAATGTTAGGAGCTATTTTTTATTTACCTTAATAGGAACATCCTTCTGCCCCTTTGCAGTTTCAGTACCAAGTTATTTCATCTACAACTTTAATTAATATCTTGCATTTATAATGTATATCAATCTGAAAGGACAAAAAGTCGCCTGGCAGATAGGGTAGAACCTTCAGAAGATGATTTCTGACATTTTTCAAAATGCTGTTCTTCTCTTTTGCTGCTTGTGTTCCTCCAAAGTAGGTGCAAATTTGACTTTCTTCTGCTCCATTTATAATCCCAGCCAACACTGCATATTCATTGGTAGCTTCTTTTCATAAATCTAAAGGCAAAATGGTTAAAATATTTTTTTAATTATAGCAAATTTGGGGTGGGAAAAATACAGGCTTCCAAATGTTATTTGACTGGAATTCCCATTACCTCCAGCCACCAGGGCCTAAAGCAGGGGTCCGCAAACTTTTTAAACAGAGGGCCAGGTCACAGTCCTCAAACTGTTGGAGGGCCGGATTATAATTTGAAAAAAACATGAATGAATTCCTATGCATACTGCACATATCTTATTTGTAGTGCAAAAAACACTTTAAAACAATACAATAATTAAATTGAAGAACAATTTTAACAAATATTAACTTATTAGCATTTCAATGGGAAATGTGGGCCTGCTTTTGGATGATGATTTAGGATTGTTGTTGTTATTGTTGTTGTTGTGTGCTTTCAAGTCATTTCAGACTTAGCTTGACCCTGAGCGAGGGCCGGGGAAATGACCTTGGAGGGGCGTATCCGGCCCCCGGGCCTTAGTTTGAGGACCCCTGGCCTTAAGCAAGAGATGCTGGGAGCTGCAGTTTAATAATATTCAGAGGGTCACATATTCTACCTTTGCATGAACTTCTTGTGGGGAAAATGTCTAGTGTGTGCACATGCCTTCAAATCACCTGTCAATTTAACAAGTCTCCATGAATTTTTGAGACTTTTTTTCAATATAAAGTAATATAAAGCTCCAGCCCAGGATATCAGAAGGATTGTCTCTCCATCTATGAGTCTACCTTGAATTTGAGAAGTTGGGGGACACATCGAGCGGTACAACAGAGGAAGGAATAGAAATGTTCCTATTTTAGCATACTTATTGTAATTGACTGCAAGGGACAGTTAATGGTTGCATTATTTGTTTTTGTTTGTTGCTTTCTCTTACGTCTTTTAATTAATTGCAATGGTTTTGACTTTGAAGGGGGGGATTAATTTTTATACACATACACACAGAGCTTATATGTTTGTATTCTTTTAAGTCTTTTAATATTTTGTAAGCCACATTGAATCCCAATATTGGGGGAAAGGTGGGCTATAAGTGACGATGATTATTATGATTTTCCACATCCCTGCAATAAATGTTATATTGCTTTATATTTTAGTGTGCTAAAAGAGGGGTTCATAACAACCCATTTGCTCAGTCATTTAAAACACATCTGAAAGAAAAAAAATCTCCTTTACTTGGATGTACAGATAAGAGCATTTCCACTGGGAAGGAGAGCTGCTACACAATCTGGATCCCTCCTCACATTTAAGCTTTCGATATCACTAGTTGTATACTAGAAAAAAATGAATAAATCAGTATGGGATGGCAGAATCTGAAACACTTAAACAATTTGTAAAACTTCTTTTCTCTTAGAAAAATGGACTCCCATTTTTTCAATAACATTTTTAATGCGTGTAATCAAGGGAAAGCATGACGTGCATCTAGCTGTTTGAAAAGTTGTTTGGAGCTGGCTAGAATGCATGTCAGGCTATTAGGAATGTATAGCTATTGTTAATCACAGCCAGTGTCTCGGAAATCACTCCCACATTATTCACTAGAAGGTTCAACTTCATACTGTGAAGTAAATATCACTGTTACCATGTATTTATTAATATTTACATAAAAGCCCATGCATAATGTGAGCACAATAAAGCTGCCTGTATTTATGCCTTAATACCCATTGATCTGTGCACTGTAGGGGGAGTCATACAGAATGGAAATTTCAGATATATTAATTTCTTTCCATTCCATCTCTTTTAGACCATTCCTAAAGCTCCATGTTTTGCTTAATCAGTCAAGAACACATATTGATATGTGTGCTTGTGCGTGCAAATGCACGTATGCACCCACCCTCAAACATTTGTGATTATTCATTTTAAAGCCTATCCCAGTAGTTCAAAGCTGTAACCAGATCTGTATATCCTGCTAGATGTCAGGAAAGAATGAGGATGCTGGTGCATTATTATAACATCTGAACTCAGCTACATTCAATGTTTTGTTTTCCAATAAACTAGAGAATCCAGAGTTTCTTCTCAATTTCATCAAGGAGGAATCAAAGCAGAATCCTTATCACAATGAATAAACCACAGACCAAAATCCCCATCACCAAAACCGACATGTCTGAAGAGGACAAGAGAATGAGGCTTCTTGGTGGCTGATCATGGAATTCCTTCCCACATGAGACTAGGTTGGCCCCTTTCTGCTCCCTTTTGGAAACAGGTATTTAACATTTATCATAAGCAACTTTCAATTCCACACTGGGAGTAAAGGGAGATATATTATAAATAAATAAATGAATAAATAATCTAGCAGCTCTCATTGCAAATGGTAAGAATCAGGCAGAGTGCACTAGCTAGCATTCATGCTCAATTAAACCAGGTTTATTGATACACCAGCAATCCTCTGGCTAACTCTGATTTCCAAATATAGTCGCTATCTGCAACCAAGGTGTGAATGCAGCAAAGGGAATTATAAGATGGGACTGCTTTCTAAATAATGACAAACTGCTTCTAAATTCAGACATTTCAAAAATGATCCCTTAATTCAGTAGCTGTGCACACATTAGCCAGAAACATTATTTCTAGACCTCCCTCTCTCCCCGGAGGCAAGCAGGGTGATTTACACACAAAAATGGCAAACATTCATTGCCTCAAAATGGGTACAAACACATCAAAATAATACAGGATAATGGATAATAACAATAAACTTACAATGAAAGAATTAAGTATTGAAATAAAAATAAAAACAGGAATAATCCACTAAGACATAGAACTAAAACATGGGTAAAATGATGACATTTTACCAGTGCAGAGCCTATTGAAATGGATCTGGAGGTGGGAATCAGCCAGTCATCCATACGTTGCTAGACTGCAACTCCCAACAGCACAAACCAGCATAGTTAACTGTGAGGAATTCTAAAAGTTACAGTGTAACATGATCTAGAAGTCTATATCATTCTCCTGAATTAGTGTCTGTATATTTCCAGAGTCTATGCAAGGATTGTTTCCAGTACATTTCTGTTGCGTAAGCAATTGCTCAAACAGTTACTATGAAGTTGTGAAAGCATTTCCACAACATCTTATGCAATTGCCTGCAGTGTGGTGTAATTCAATAGTAATGTTTCTCATGCTCCTAGCATTATGTTCTGGTCTGTTTAAATTCTCTCAGATAATACAACAAAACATCAAACTTATTTTTAAACTAAGTGGACTTTAAAACAAAAGCAAGCCAACTTGCAGGGTCTCACTGGTGAGAACTTCACCAAATTACGCATTGCACAGTACATTTCTCTCTAATGGGCTCAAATGTTACCAAGGGACAAGTACTTCTAAAGTCTAATCAATTTAATGTTCAACTGTCTTGTGGCATAAACAATCAGTACATTGCTTACCACTAGTGTCCATTTTTCTGTTTCAGCTCTTGTCCAGTCAGTTTTGATGATCTTCTAATTCCAGCTCTTTGGCCCTGAGCAAAAGAATAACAAAAACTTGGTTGTGACAACTGATCAATCCTTAGCATTCCCATTTGTATGAGATAAATGGTGATGTCAAGAGTGCTATCTTTTTCAACAAGATTAATGTCCAGGAAAATTAGATCCATATGCTCAAATCAACCTCACTACCATTTATACCACCTTCCACCAAAAAATGTACACCACGAAGTAATGTGCTCTTTTGGTATGAACTGATGTGCCAAAAGAGGTTACATACATGAAGAACAATTGCAGGATTCTTGTGAACTTAAAGAGAGAAAATGTCTATTAATATTGCATATTGGAGAAAGGCTGGAACACAGAGAACGTGTTGTCTGCTGAATGTACTTAGACGTCTAGAATCCCATTGGTGTATTTATTACCCCATAATCATGACTATTATCAACATGCATGGGTTATTAATATATTGAGTATCTTTGTGTGTGCATGCCTGACAACAATGAAGAAGATATAAACACTTATATATACTTCTTAAACCACAGCATGCAAAATGGACTGTAGAGCTAACAAATGCTGCCTCAAGGTTTCTAGGCTATCTACTTTGTTCCTTCCAAAAAAGGAACAATACAATTAATCTACAGTGAACAGGCCGTTGACAAGTGAAATTAGTTTTGACATCCAAATGTTTGCTTTGGGTTTTAAGAGACTTTTTACATCATCCCTGCTCTGCTAATTTGGAGACCACCTGGTAACAAAATTAGTAAGCAAATATCTATGTGTACAGGCCAATTCTTCTAGTGCAGTTTTTCACATTTAATCTCCCCGCCACTCCCTTCCCTTTTATTTTCTTTTCTTTCTCTGAAAAATAGCACTGTAGTGTTGTTAAGTTCTTCTGGTCCATTATCTTGGTGGCTTCTCTTTCAACAAGGGAATTATTGACCAAGATCAACTATGAGTACCATAAACTGCAAAGGACATTGCTACTTTTAACTTTTGTTATATCTATAGCCTGTTTCTCCGGCAGAGGGGATCTTTCACGCAGGTAGTTCAGAATAGTACAGTACTCTCCAATAATGCTTCTCCAATTCACAATTCACCCGCAGATATAACTTTCAGCTCAAATCTGCAGAGCTTTTTTAGGATTTATTATAAACATGATTCATATTATTTTGAAGTATACTAAATCTGAAACTGTATTATAGAGGACCGAAACCATTTCTACCCCCTCAAAAATGTTAACATTTGCACACCCCTTTGTTTTTCAACATTTTGCAACAAATTGCAAAAGAGGGCTGTGCGCGTATCTATTTCAGATGCTTGTCCAGCATTGCCATGTTTTTCTTTTCTAGCAGATTAAGTGCCTAAGGATTCATCAGGATTCATCACAGGTGAATGTATTTTCTGTTACTAATAGTACATTGGGATCCTCTGATAATATATATTCAAAACAGATTGTAGGATTTGGATGCATTTGCAATAAAACACATTCAGTTGCAAAGGACAACAGCATAGGAAGAAACAACACCCTGTGTCTTTTCTGCACTAATGGTGATATGCTATGCAAGGCATAACACAAACATTTAGTTCAGTAATGGACATCTGCATGCACCAATTCTCTGCCTAGAACATGAACATATTCCCCCATTTCTGACATTTTTGTCACTAATGGCTAGCTGTGAGGTCCTACTTACATGAGCAACAGTTCTGATTCATAGCACATCAATTTATTCTTCTCCAATACCAGCTCAAACCATTCATGTAGCAGCTGAGTTTCATCTTGTGTGCTTGAATCTGTTTAAGATATTAAATATATATGTGTATTTGCAAGATCGAGTTATCTTTCCCACAAGCATAAAAATTACACCATGCTGAGGCCAAAGTAATGTTTGCTAAAGTTTCTTCCTCTAAAAAGTCCCAAATGAGTTAAGAATGCACTTGTAATCTGTTAAATATTTTGCAGTAGCCAAACATCAGGTAGAAATCTAGGTTATAAGATAGATTAAAAAATGTGTTTCACAGTTTGGCTGCATCTGATATTAAGATACACCAATAATTATTCTCCATTTTGGTAATAATAATTTCTTACCCATCTCTCCTCACAGCTCGAAACGGGTTACAACATCACTAAAACACATAATCTTCAAAAACATTCTATAAAATACCCATATTAAAACATATTTCTACAAAATGCATATTAAAATACACACAGCAAAGCTTAAACACAAGACACAAGTTTAAAATTTGTGGGTAAAATTGGTTGGGTGGGCCTGCCAGAAGATATAGATTTTCGGGCAGGTCATTCCACAGTCTTGGGGTGGTTGATTAAAAAGTCCTCTTGATGATGGTTGCCAGTTGGGTTCTGGCTGGTTGGAGTAAGGGTTCCCCAAAGGACCTTGCTTTTTGGGGCAGATTGTATGGGAGATGTAATCCTGTAGGTAAACCGGGCCCAAACCAAATAATAGATTTGTTCTAATGTAAGATATAAAGTATCAGAGTAATGTTCCATCTAACCACAATTAATCAGGTTTTGGAGGTGTTTCTACTTAACTCCCCCATCCTCTTAGAAAATAACAAACAGATATTTCTCAGTCTTATGACTTGATATCCCTTAACTAGAGTGGCTGAAAATGAGCAAGAGGGCTTTTATATATAACCAAGAACTCTGTTGCTTTAAAGAAGATAAACTGAATGCTTGACCCTCTGGTTGATGCAGTAGAAAACTTGCATCATTGTATTGGTTCTGCTTGTTGTAGCTTCCCTAACTTTGCTTTAAAGCCAAAAGAAAACCAGAGAAACTGGATCATATAGTTCCTTTTATGGATCTGCTGTGCTATGTTTGCTATGAGATGTTGTGGATGTTTCTCTGGTGCATATCCACACTGCACACTTACAGTGGTTTGATTCCACTTTATCTGCCATGGGCACAGCCTTTGAAATCCAGAGATATGTACTTTGGCAGGGTACTTGGAATTATTTGGTAGAAAACTTTAGTGTTGTACTTTAGGGTAGTGTACACCAGAACTCTTTGACAAAGAAGTCTAAATATACCTCCCCAAATGACTTATCCCAGAATTCCTCATGACTGAGCCATGACAGTTAAAATGTTATCAAACTGCTACAATTGAACAGTGTGGAAGTGGCAACAGAAGTAGTCATTGTCATTCTATGTATTTATTCTACCATTATTGTAGAAGAAGACATTTGTATATAATTAAACAATGTATCTGATAGGGAGCCCCCGGTGACACAGTGGGTTAAACCACTGAGCTGCTAAACTTGTGGACCGAAAGATCGGAGGTTCAAATCCAGGGAGCAGCATGAGCTTCCGCTGTCAGCCCCAGCTTCTGCCAACCTAGCAGTTTGAAAACATGCAAATGTGAGTAGATCAATAGGTACCGGTCCGGCAGGAAGGTAACGGCGCTCCATGCAGTTATGCTGGCCACATGAACTTGGAGGTGTCTGTGGACAGTGCTGGCTCTTTGGCATAGAAATAGAAATGAACACCACCACCCAGAGTTGACACACACAAAAACACACACAGAATCTGTGCATGGTAAAGCACTATTGAAGTGTGGACTTAAATGGTATGTCCAAGCAGAGATACAATGTAAACTGTTCTGAATTTTTTAAAGAGGGACATAACAGAAAGTAAATGTAACATTATTCAAGTTTGTAGACCCTTCACAGCCCTGAGATGATCCCTTGCTCCTAGAATGTATATATAGGTCTTGATCCCGCTCTGAAATCCCCAGAACCACATTTTGCTCATTGCCTTTGGAGTGCTTTGTTTCACCACCCCTTCTGTGCTCCCTTTCCTTATTCATCCACATTGCTAATGAATAAGTCCCACTAACAAAAGCGCCTTTCATTCTGAACTCGCACAATTATTAGAGGGGAGTTACATTAATGTCAGGGACAGCTACTACTTGCAGGCCTGTCTCTAAATTTGGTTATTCAGACCCTTTGCAGCTCAATAATATTGGTTAACTGTGATGATTTTCTAATTACCGTAATAATACCTATTAAATCACTTGAACTCCATAAGCACAGCCCTGCTTAAGTACAGCTTAACCTAATAAGACCTGGGCATTCATTAAGCAATAATGCACATTACTTTTTTTAAAAGGCGTGAGTGAATGGAACAGCTGGATTTATACATAGCAGCATAAATATTGTTTTAAGCAAGCTTCCCACATGAAATATTTTAGGGATGATTTGCAGGATCTCTGAAAAATCTGCACATGAGACTTACAAGAAGAGTAGTAATCATCTTCCCTCTAGAACACCAGCATCTGTAGCTGTTTACCAATCAATAAACAGGGAGAATAGCTATCCTTAATATGAAGAATTACATGACCAATGATAAGGAAAGGAACAAGGAGCTTCAAACTCTGCAAACACAGCCAACTCAGTAAGGACATATCTTAATAAACCTTTGTCAAAAAATAGAACATATACCATATATACTTGAGTATAAGCCAACCTGAATATTAGCCGAGGCACCTAATTTTACCACAAAAAAACTGTGAAAACTGACTGACTAAAGTATAAGCCTAGGGTGGGAAATGCAGCAGCTACTGGTAAATTTCAAAATAGAAATAGAAACCAATAAAATTACAGTAATTGAGTCATACAGCTTCTCCTCTCCTCTTGGCAAAGCACCCCAGGGTTGCTGTGCCGAAAGAGGAAAGGCTGTGTGCCTTCATCTCCTCCTCTATCTCTGCACAGAGATCCAGTTGGGTTGTAGTGTCGAAATGCCTTCCTGCCAGGACTCCTCACTCGAGTATAAACCGAGGGAGCCTTTTTCAGCATAAAAATGTGCTAAAAACTAGGCTTATACTTGAGTATATTCAGTACTTTTAAACCCCAAGGCATTCCAATATATAATGGTTTTATATATGATACTTCCATGCAAGAATGTCTTCAGCCTTTGCCATGGAGTCCTTCCCATTTTGAGTTCATTTTTCATGCAGGAGAGTCACACAAGCTGAAAATTACTTTGGTCACAACTTGGGGCTGTCAAACTGTTTTGCATACTCTCCAAGGTTTCACAGATAAGAGCCAGGACAAATGGAACTAAGCAACATCAGACTGAGGCCAAGATGGCAAATGTTATTGTTGGGCGAAAACACAAAAACGAGGATAGGCTTTTGCCTGAATCTATAAGGATATTCAAGGTTATACTCCCTCCTCTTCTTTAGTACACTGAATTCATTGAGAGCAAACTACTTTCACACTTTGAATTCACTTTGCAGCAATTAAAGCAAAGTGAGCAAAGTGTACATTCTTTAACAACTTTTAGGACTTTGACCATATTCTGATGTTGCTTGCCCACACATGGGTCCCAGTCTGTGAAATGTTGGAGAGTATGAAAAAGGCTGGGGATAGCATGCCAGACTTTGTGTTCTCAACAGAAAGTTTATTCAGTAAAATTTCCAGAAACCAGTTTAACAACTTCAGAAAACAAACTTACTCTTCAAAGATTCACAGATTTTACACTCCTTACCTGTTTCTCCCCGTAGTTCCTTCTCTATTTTAACACCATGTATCTCCAGAGCTCTTTGCTTCTCATCCACTTCTTCCAGCAGCCTCTGGATAGCCTAGAAAGATTAATATTAATTTATTAAACAAATACATTTGCCAGAATAATGCCCAGAGATCTGAAATATTCCTCTTTGAGGAGTATAATCCCCCAATTCCCTACCAAAGCTGTTGTGTGAACTACTGCCTAAACAAAACACTTTTCCAAACTTTGTGAATTTACAAAGCAGCCAACTTGTGGAGCACTATCTTCTCAGAGGAACAGTGACTCCCTCAAAGTACCAGGACAGAGTCCTTGCATTTTCAAAAAGTGATTCTGATGAGGGAGCCTGCCAGGGGTTCTTTCATCCTACACAACTATGCTGCTATATAATTCTATTCCTAGCAACATTCTGTGGATTTCCTGAGTTTGGAGTCTTTTGAGGTATTGGAGTTCTCTGGCTAAGAATTCTTAAGGTCCGTAAAATGGAGATCCTAAGGTTCCATAAGATGAAATAATAGCAATTATAGTGGAATTATAACAAGCATGGTTGGTGGGGATGAGGGAGAGGGCCTTCTCAGTGGTGGCCCCTCAACTTTGGAACTCCCTCCCCAGGGAGATTAGGCAGGCCCTCACACCACTTTTTGCAGGGAACTGAAAACTTGGATGTTTCAGTAAGCATTTGAGAATGCTTAGTCCATTTATAAATGTCCAGTCCTTAGCTAACCAGACAAGACATTGCTCTCTTTACCCTACCCAATTCCACGGCCCTATAGTTCTGCTTTTTCACTTTCCCATGCCCAGCCCTTTTGATAGCCACGATATGCCCATTTTAGTAGCCCTGGTTCCTAAATTTGGATTTGAGTATTGATTGGATGGAGTTTTAATGCTACTGTGTTACACTTTTATGTCTATTTAGTTTGTTTTTAACTGGACTAATGTTTCATTAATTATGTTCTTACTTTAATTTGTGTTTTGTTTGATTGATTGGGTTTTTTTTATGGTCTTACGGACATTTGGTCCCATGGAAGCCAACCCTTAGGGGAGATGGTGGTGGGGTATAAGAATAAAGTTGTTGTTGTTGTTGTTGTTGGTGTTATACCCCTATAATTGTGTAGCATAAAAAGTACCCAGAGAACTTCAAAATGAAGATATTTGAGGATATTTGGGCATACGCAGTACATCCTCAAGCACTGAGCAATGGGTCCTTCACATTCTCCCCACATATGACCTTATCACATGAACCAGGGAAGCATCCAGTTTCACCTAAGAAACAGAGGGGAATCAAGGTAAATGCATCACCCAGTTCATCACTCCCTCGAGGTGACGCTTCCTCCATCACATGTGGGAAGCGTATCCCAAGCGAGGAGGATCAGTGCTGGCTCCATTAGACATGGGCAAGCTCCCACATTAGGAGGGAAGCATCATACAATGCTTCCACTCCAATTGTAAGCAGGAACATTACTTCCTTGCCAGTCCAGTGACATCATGGGATGGGCAGCATGCCCATCCATCACTGGACTGGGGGGAAATGTCTTAGGACACTTCCCAATCCCTATCTGATGAGGTCATAATCATCTAATGAACATGTGTGCACTTAAATATAGACAAATTCATTTTTTCTAAATAGCTCTATCTGGTATATCAGAACATGACTCTGAGAAGAAAAGGAACAGCAAGAAATTATATGGTGAGTTATAAATGGTTTTGTATGTTTGTATGTGCATGTGTACCTTCAAGCTGCCTGGATTTCTTAGGGTTTTCTTAAAAAGGGGATACTCAGAGGTGCTTTTTTTGAGTACCTTCCTCTGAAATACAGCCTATAGCACCTGGTATTTGTTGTTGGTCTCCAGTCCAAGTATTAACCACAGCTGAACCTGCTTAGCTTCCAATATCAGATCTGGTGCCTTTAGGCTATGCATTGCACTAAATAAATCTGGAGAAGCATTGGTTGTTTGTTTGTATGGCTGTGATAATTATTTAGATCTTGTTGAGCAAGCATGGGCAAACTTCAGCCCTCCAGGTGTTTTGGACTTCCAACTCCCACAGTTCCTAACAGCCTAGGGTCAAAGAACAACAATGGCATAAAAGAAAGTACAGTGTGGTGAACACATTGACTTGATCTGATTTCAATAGCTATACAGAACTGGGTTTCATTAATATTTTTCAAGGACTATCAGATAATATCAATGATCTCCTGTTAGGCTAAGAAATAATACTACCGGAAACGCAAGAGAGCCACTGACAATATGGGACTAGACAACTCACTGATTAGATACAATATAAGATGGTTTGCTATGTCCCTAGAGGGTTAGAAAAACATAAAATTTCATCCAGATAAAGGAATTCATGTCTGGAATGATCTTGAATTAAACACCTGTAAAGAAGGAATACACAAAGCTTTTAATGACTTCTCATCAATCATGTTTTGATTCCTCCCACCTATCGAGCGACAAGGCATCAGCTTTAGCAAACATCTGACACTCAATCAGTACTAAGCCATTTGTTTTAGAAGAGGAACATAACATTACTTGTGCTTTATGAAGTCTTTTTAATTCCTCTTGCTTAACTAGTTGCTTCGTTTCCTTTTCCAACTTTCTGTTTTTTCTGCGAGATCTTTTTGTCTAGAGAGAAAAAAACACACACACACACAAAATCAATGCTTTGTACTTAGCCACAGCTTTTCATAGACTTTTCCTTTAATGTGAATGTTTAAGTAGTTTTTCACTGTGTAGGCTAGGCACATTCCAAGCCATTTGTCCTCATCAATAGGGACCTTGCTGTAATTTTAGTCAGGCATTAGCAATTTCAGTCGATAAAGGCAATGGTAATGCTCCATCAGTGATGATGAATCTGCACATTTATAAACCTTAGACAAATTACCTTGATGACTAAAAAGTAAACATTTGGGGAGTACAGAGTTGCCATTCATGACTTCCTTCTCCTTGTTACATCTACAGATTTGAATGCACTGTATTTGTGTTTTTATCATTATTACTGTGGTTTAATAGACTTAAATTCTTATAAATTAATATTTTCAAGATGATCTTTGGTTTAATTGCTTTTTAACTTTAGTTTTAACTATTGTTAAAACTGCATGTTATTTTAACTCAAATTGTAAGCTGCCTTGGGTCCCATATTGCAAGAAAGTTTGCAGACGACACCAAATTGGGAGGGATAGCCAATAGTCCAGAGGACAGGAGCAGAATTCAAAACGATCTTGACAGATTAGAGAGATGGGCCAAAACTAACAAAATGAAGTTCAACAGTGACAAATGCAAGATACTCCACTTTGGCAGGAAAAACGAAATGCAAAGATACAAAATGGGGGATGCCTGGCTCAAGAGCAGTACGTGTGAAAAAGATCTTGGAGTCCTCGTGGACAACAAGTTAAACATGCGCCAACAATGTGATGTGGCGGCAAAAAAAGCCAATGGGATTTTGGCCTGCATCAATAGGAGCATAGTGTCTAGATCTAAGGAAGTAATGCTACCCCTCTATTCTGCTTTGGTTAGACCACACCTGGAATATTGTGTCCAATTCTGGGCACCACAATTGAAGAGAGATATTGACAAGCTGGAATGTGTCCAGAGGAGGGCGACTAAAATGATCAAGGGTCTGGAGAACAAGCCCTATGAGGAGCGGCTTAAGGAGCTGGGCATGTTTAGCCTGAAGGAGAGGAGATATGATAGCCGATCTTAAATATGTGAGAGGAAGCCACAGGGAGGAGGGAGCAAGCTTGTTTTCTGCTTCCTTGGAGACTAGGACGCGGAACAATGGCTTCAAACTACAAGAGAGGAGATTCCATCTGAACATGAGGAAGAACTTCCTGACTGTGAGAGCCGTTCAGCAGTGGAACTCTCTGCCCCGGAGTGTGGTGGAGGCTCCCTCTTTGGAGGCTTTTAAGCAGAGGCTGGATGGCCATCTGTCAGGGGTGAATTGAATGCAATATTCCTGCTTCTTGGCGGGGGGTTGGACTGGATGGCCCATGTGGTCTCTTCCAACTCTTTGATTCTATGAAAGCTGAGAATTCAAACAAACAAACAAACAAACAAATAAAATATAGTGGAAATCAGAAGAGCCAGGGCAGGATAGTGTTGGAAAAGTTACCTTGCGTGATAATGAAGACTTGTGTTCTAATTCACCATCAGAAGATGAAGAAGTGTATTTAGACATTTGTTTTCTGGAGGGTGGGTATTTAGGACCTAAAAAAGAAGCAAAAAGATCAAGATAAATTATTCTCTTCCTAGTCTTTGTATAGATGTTTGTGGGTTTATAATTTTATCAGATATGTTTAGATCTGTTGTTTATGTTTATTTCTATGTATGGTATGTTTTGTTTACATGTTGTTCGTTGCTTTGAGTCCTGATTTGAGAGAAAAGTAGGAAATAAATAAATAAATAAATAATCACAACCACTGTGTATGCCTGCACCTGCTCATAGCTTGGAAAGACTATATCTAATGGCAATTTGGAAAACTGGACAGATTTTATTCATTATGTTTTTGGCTACTATTCAAGGGTTTCAGTACTTGGCAACTCTTTGGCCATCCCATTCTCCACAAAAGATACCACGTTTTATGTGACCAAGTCATTATTTCCCATTTCCTTGCATGAAAGCTCAGCCTCCCATTCAGTCTGCTATTAAAATGCATATCTGTAGTTAGCCACGTTATCTAAATGATGGTCTCAGAGTCACCATGCAGTGTAATTGAATGCCCAAAGTCTGCGCCAGCTCTTAAACAAATTACCCTTATGTGGCTTGCAGCATCTGGCACCCATTTTTACTCTGTGACATCTGCTCAGTGTAAAAAAGCTGGCGTCAGAATGTCTGGTCATATAAAAAAAGTCACAAATATAATCAGAAGCAAATGGGCTTTACGAAGGCAGTTTTATCGTACAGCCTCATGCAACATAAATATTTCATTAATTAGCCTCTAAACAAATGTCACTTATATTTTCTTTCTCTCGTGCTGTTGAAAATAAAAGCCGTATATAAAGATATATTAACAAACAACCCATTCTTCTACAAAATTCCCCCGGAAGGGCATTTAAGGTAGATCTCTGAGAAACCTGTCTTTGAAGATTTCAACTCATTTGCATTTCTGCGCCTAAAATTCTGATTTTGCCTTGTTTGAAGTAATGTTTGAATGGCCATGAAACATTTCCACTCATATGTCTAATTCACATCCTTCTCCTTTCTGAGAAAACAGAACAGGTACGAGGAGCATCCTCTGATATGCTTAGCTTGCTCCAGGATTAATCATTAACACCTGGTTGAACCTCTGTTCAGGTTGTGAGTGGTTTTGTGAGGGTCTTGTGGGAGGTTGCCAGGAATTCTAGGAAAAATTGTGATCGCAAAAAATATTTACATATTTTAGCTGTAAATATACAATATACAATATACTCCCCTTATCCATGGAATCAATATCCATAGTTTCACTTATTTACAATTTTTAAAGAAGCTCTAGGAGTGTTTGTGGTTCTTTTTAGGTCCTCCAGTGAGATTCTATGTTATGGAATGCATAACATAATATAGCTAATATACAAGACCCCTGTGGCACAGCGGGTTTATTTATTTATTTATTTATTTATTTATATTCCACTCTTCTCACCCTGCAGGGGACTCAGGGCGGATTACAATGTACATATACATGGCAAACATTCAGTGCCATAAACACACAACATATATAGACAGACGCACAGAGGCAATTTAACATTCCAGCTTCATGAGGGTATTCTGGCCACCAGGGGAGCTGTTGCCTCACCATCCATTTGTGACACTGATGGAGTACTTCCTCATTCTTTGCATTCTTGCTGGAGATTTTTATGGCATTGTAAATTAGTTAAATTAGTCTCCCCATGTAAGCAGTACCTAAATTTCCTACTTGACAGATGCAACTGTCTTTCGGGCTGCAAAGGTCGACAGTGAGCCACACAATGGTCGGAAGCTCACTCCGAACCCGGGCTGGCTTTGAACTCATGAACTTTCAGTCAGTAGTAATATATATATATATATATATATATATATATATATATATATAGTTTCCTTACAATCATATAGTTAAAAGAAGGGGGTTTAGGATTGAAGGTAGGGTAAAATAGGAGAGGAGGGGGTAGGGGAGAGGGGATAAAAGGGGTCCGGTCCAGGACTAGTGATTGGGTGTGACAGGGGTTGCTTGGGTTAGGGAAAGAAAAAGGGAATCTGGGGAAGAAGGAAAAGGAGGGAGATTGTGAAAAGGGTTTTTGACTTCCTCAATCTTCTTCTTTCTGGTTCCATCTTTTTTACATCATTCTTTCTCCTGAAATTGTTTCTTCCTCTTCTTTTGTGTCTTGTCTAGCTTCGTATACTAAGAAATATTCCTCAAATAACTTCCATTCTGTTTTTTTCATTGGTCTTCCATATGAGTCCTTTAGTGCAAATGTCAGTTTATCCATATCTTTAATTTCCATGATTTTGTTTATCCATTCTTCCTTAGTGGCTCTGTTTCCACTTTTTTTGCCAAAACTATTCTTGCTGCGGTGATGTAATAATTAAACAAAATATCATCATTCTGGTCAAGTTCCATCTCTTCATCTGTTATCCCCAGTAAAAATAAAAATTCAGCCAGTAGTAATCTAATGCAGCTGACTCCCAGCCAGCTGTGCCACAGTCCTGGTAAGCTGCTGAACTTGCTGATCAAAAGGCTGCATGTTCGAATCCAGGAAGCAGGGTGAGCTCCTACTGTTAGCCCCAGCTTCTGCCAGCCTAGCAGTTCAAAAACATGCAAATGTGAGTAGATCAATAGGTACCGCTCCGGCGGGAAGGTAACAGCACTCCATGCAGTCATGCCAGCCACATGACCTTGGAGGTGTTTACAGACAATGCTGGCTCTTCGACTTAGAAATGGAGATGAGCACCAACCCCAAAGTCAGACACGACTGGACTTAATGCCAGGGGAAAATCTTTACTTTTACCTAAGGTTCACTATTATCCATTATTTCAGGTATCCACAGGGGTCTTGGAGCATATTGCCCTTGGATACAGGGGTTGTACTGTAATGATTTCTATGCAGGGTCCCACAAGTTTGAAATAGTTGAAATGGCTCTTCTAGGGTAAAAACATTGAGAAAGGCTATCTAAACAATTATTACATTTATTAGAGAAATGCATATACATCTGAGAGTTACCATGGGGTAATGGTTTGGACTACCAGTGAAGATACCAGGGTTTCAATCCCTGCACAGCCATGAAAACTTGCTGGAGTTTTCATGGCTGTGGATCTTGCTGCAAGTCATACTCTCTCCGTCTCAGTGGAAAACAAAAGGCAAATGCTCTCTGAACAAATCCCCCCAAAAACATTTAGTAGGATAACCTTAGGGTTATCATAAGTCAGAAATAATTCAAACACAACAACAATATGCACTCATTTTTCTCTCTGTGGGTTCAAAATACTGTCTGTGTGCATGCATACTGACACACAATGCTTTTCCGTCTTTAGACTGTGTAAATGTTATTAGCCTACATTTTAAACCAATCAGAGTTTTAAAACTAGTGTTACAGTTTAGGCAAAGAAAGATGCAGATAAAGTGCCCCCTCATCCTAATGCTGGCAGAACACCATACTGTGGAAGTGATAGTTAAAAATAATGAGCCCATTCTTTTCTGCCAATGCAGAAAATGCATGCCCTTTTCCAGCAATAAAAACATAACTCACTTCTGATACAGCTGTAGTAAATCTTTAAAGACATAGCCATGTTAGACTGTTTTAGCATGGAAAGCTACTAAGGAACCTTGTAGTACAGAGCTTTTCTGTGTCATTAATGTGTCAACTGCATTGTGTAGGTGTGTCATGCAAATCATACAATCAAAGAGTTGGAAGTGACCTTATGGGCCATCCAGTCCAACCCTCTGCCAAGAAGCAGGAAAATTGCATTCAAAGCACCCATCCAGCCTCTATTAAAAAGCCTTCAAAGAAGGATCCTCTATAACACTCCAGGGCAGAGAGTTCCACTGTTGAACAACTCTCACAGTCAGGAAGTTCTTTCTAATGTTCAGCTGGAATCTCCTTTCTTGTAGTTTGAAGCCATTGTTCCAGGACCTAGTCTATAGGGCAGCAGAATATAAGTTTTCTCACTCCTCCCTATGACTTCCTTTCACATATTTATACACGGCCATCATGTCTCATCTCAGCCTTCTCTTCTGCAGGCTAAATATGCTCAGCTCTTTAAGCCACTCCTCTGAGTCTATGTGAAATAAGCAATACATCTTATATTTTTGAAAAAATATATAAATGAAAGATTATTACAATTTATGCATGTGTCTGTATCTCTCATAAGAGTTGGTTTAAACTCCTGTTTGCTAGTTAAACTGAATTACTGTTGGCAAGTTTTTCCTCAGAGGAAGTCACCAAGGGAGATGAATCTCTCTGTGTTTGAGAGAGTGAAAGAGAAAGATGGTGGAAGAAGTCTCAAGCTCATGTAGGATGGCCACCTACAGAGCTTTCTCTATTGTCACTGTAGATTTTGGCCTCAAGAAAGGCTGGACGAAATGACCATCTTTCCATGGGGAAAGGGCCGAGGCTATGAAGAGAAGGCATATAAGAACCAATGCCAAGGTAAGCCTGAATGTCAAGAAGATACAACTCTCGGGAGCATCTGGAGGCCAAAGTATAAACCTCTGAAACAAAGACATCATTTGAAATGCCAACTGAAAGAAACGCAAGAGAGCAGCTTGAAAATCCCCTATGCATGGGGAAGGGGGCAGGCACCGACTTAGGGTTGAGCATGTCTAAACATATCTGCAAACCTAGACTTTTGACTTTTGCCTTTTCTAACTCTCTTCTACCGAAGCACACGAGAGGGCAATTCACGGACTGCTGAAGGGAACTGCACATAGCAAGATTACCTAGTGGAAATAGTTGCCAGGAGTACATTATGAYGATTTTAGTCTTCTGAGCTTTGTTTCATTTTTAAAAAATTAACTGATCTGAGTCATTCGTAGACTGGTTCAAATAATATATGTTAATTTAATAAACTAGAATATGCATGAGGTTGGTACATGTGCAAGCAATGTTTCTGTTTATACCTTCACRCACCCACAAAGCAAACTAAGGACTGGCTGWTAAAYCATTATTTGGCTTACGTTTAATACAAGGCCATGATAAATTGCTGCTTATAGCTTTTTAAATTACTAATGTTAAGGCAGGAACTAAGTGGAAATGAAGGTGTGTGGAGGTTGTGTGTATCCTGGTTTAATAAATGAGAAGATTTAAGACAGGATTTGCCAATCTGAATCAAATTTATGAGACCCACCCCCTCTTTCCCTGTTTGTTTTTGGTGGATTGAAGGCTCTAAAACACAACAGGAAGTGGTGCTTGGAATTATAGGAGGAAGGAAGAATTAAATGGCAAATTCCAAGTTCCATCTTTCTTCCAAGGGGAAGCTTCTGTTAGATCAGGCRCTTTGCATGAAYAGGGGGAATCCCTACCAAGAAGAAAGTTTGGATGCAACCCATAGTTCCTATATGTACTATATTTCTTTTGGATTTTCCTGAATTATTCTTGCTTTTTCTACTGTGAAGTAGCATCTTAATCTTTTTGTTCCCAATACTAAAAATAAATTCCCTAAAACAAATAAAATAAAATAAAATAAACTGAATTACTGTTTTGCAAAGTGATGCATGTCTAAAATGTGTCACCAACATGAAATGTTTGTAAAGCTCTGCTGTAGCGCCTTTGAGACTGTGTAAAAGAGTTCTAGCATTATTTTTCATGGACCCCAATCTGCTTCATTAGATATATGGAGTGAAACTCCTGTATACTAATGGGGGGTGGGAAGAAGAGTGTGACTCATAATAGACATACCAAACATATGGGTACGGTGATGAAGTGACAAATCCAGTCTCAAAGAATTGTGATCATCATTAGGGTTGAACTTGTCTTCCCATCACTATGCCTCTATGCGTCTGTTTAGTGTTTCTATTGCAATTCACACTCCCCTTCCTATTTATATGTATGCGTGTCCAAAGTGGCTTCACTTCTTGCATGTGTCTATGTAATCTTCTGCTAGAATTTTTTCCCAATCCTTTTCTCAGAAAATACAGGATTCCTTTATACATCTGTCCCAATAAAACTATAACTATAACTGTAGCTATATTATTTAAACGTCCTTCTATAGTTACTTGGTTGTGGACTCACTTAAAGATGGGGGAGGTGATACTACATGGCTCAAATGATGGCATTTGCTGTGTCTCATGTTGCTGAATGCAAAACATTTTGATTTTTTTAATGTTGTCCTCAGGCTATTTGAAATGCTAGAAAAATAAGAAAGTAATCTTTTTTGTGTAGAGGGCAACTGAAACACAACAAGGTAGGGTTAACACACTTCCATCCTCATTACCTGTTCATTTTACTGGCTTTCAGAATACTAAAAACTGCTACAGTGAATATTAAAAGAATAAATCAAGATACATCATGCCAAAGGAACCTATAGCAGAAGACATTTGCTGCAATTCCATGTTCCTGGCAATGCAAGAGAAGGAAATTTGAGAAGCAACCAGGCAATTTTAATTAGGATAATTAGGGTGGCAATTATTTTATTTGAAAAGTATAATTATCATAACCTCCAATAAGTGGAGCAAAATCCTTGCAAGCCTACTGAGCTGAGAGAACTGGAGGCCTGTGGTTTTAGCTCCAGCAAAACAACGAATTCCTTTAGGCCTTTAACTTGAACTGTGAAATGTCTCTCCGAGGTGCTGAACCTCATTGCTATAATACAGTGGTTCTCAACCTGTGGGTCCCAAGATGTTTTGGCTTTCAACTCCCAGAAATCCTAACAGCTGGTAAACTGGCTGGGATTTCTGGGAGCTATAGGCCAAAACACCTAGGGACCCACAGGTGAGATCCACTGCTATAATAGGTGAATACCTTGGAAAATTCTTTAAAGTTTGAAATAAACCCCAAACTAGATTGAACACCCCAAAGACATTGGTGCCACTTGTCTCCACTAGTCATACTTGGGGTGTAGGAAGTAGCCGCTGTCACACTAAATGATCCTGCCTCATTATTATTACACTCAGCACAATGGTTCCAATAAAATCAACATGAGAAGGATCCTGTCAACCAATCAACAATGTTTTAGGACCAGATACTCTTTTATAAATATCTCTCTTACATATATGTACACACACACAACTCCAAATCTAGTCTCCTTCCCAATTTATTATATTAGACCACATCCTAGGATTGCTTAATCCATGGTAACGTTTCCTGAGAAACACTGCTGACGCCCGAGTGTCAGGCTTCATACACAAGGAATTTAATTCCTTTAGATTGTATGTAGTAGTAATATGTTTTCTTTTATTTTAGAAAAAAGTATCTTTAACTTTATTTTTGTTTGTTAGTTTGCTTGTTTGTACATTTTCATGTAGGTTTTGTATTAATTTGTTTAAATAAAAAATGAGGCATCACACTTTATAGAATTAATAGAGTTCATATAAGTGTTAACTAGTCACTCAATTATTGGTTCAGTGGATCTCTTCTAGCTGTGATATGGGCTAAGATATTTATTTATTTATTTATTTATTTATTTATTTATTTATCACCACCATCTCCTGAAAGGGACTCAGGGCGGCTTACAAGGTATGCAGTAATGCAGAAATAATACACAAATACAATAAAATACATATAACACATAACACTGTCAATTTACATAAAACCATATACGTTTAGCAGCATAAAACCCTTTCTAGTTTAGATAGAAATACTCAATAAAATGCAGCAATAATTGTGGGTTAAAATACAGCCATATCAGTGTCAATCACATAAAGTGCAGGAGTAAGTGTTTACTGTTGCTTTAATTATGTATGAAGGCCTGCTTGAAGAACCATATTTTCATTTTTTCTGAAAACATTGGAGTGTGGGGGCTAGCCTAATTTCTCTGGGGAGGGCATTCCAAAGCTGAGGAGCCACCACCAAGAAGACCCTATCCCTTGTCCCCACTAACCGTGCTTGAGATGAAGGTGGGACCAAGAGGAGAGACTCCCCGGCAGATCTTAGAACTTGCACCAGTTCATAGGGGGAAATGCAGTCTCAAAGACAGGTTGGACCCAAACCATGCAGGGCTTTGTAGGTAATGACCTGAATTTTGAATTAGGACCGGAAACTTGTCAGCAGCCAGTGGAGCTGCCCCAATAAGGGCATGATATGCTCTGATGTTCTGCTAATTGTACTGCTGAAAATCCCATATGCTCTCAGTGTTGGAGAGCCAATTTGGCTGGTATGAGGCCAACTGTGCAGCTTAATGCCATGATTCACTACCTACTGAAATGTCTAAGGCCAGGGGGCTGTACAAGTCATTGAACTGTAACATTATGAATTATGAAAAAAAGCATGTTAACAAGAGTACTTGTTCACAATTGCATTAAACAATGCATTCAGAAACCAAAGTGAGAGCATGTATTTTATAAAAACATGGTTAAATTCATGCCATGAGTCTGTTTAATTATGATATCCTATATGCATGGGTATAGTAACAGGGTGGGGTAGAGTGGAGAAGGCATTGCCTCTCTAAATAAAAGTTCTACACACCAATGAATTTTCCTTCAGTCTCCAAATTTCTAGCATTGCAGAGTGTGATACATTGAAAGTAGTTCACACCTATTAGTCTAACCTTTGCCGTGTTCATATTCTCTTTGAGCAATGTCTGACCCTTTCCTTTGGATGTATAAACTGTAGGACAATTTCATGCATGAAAGTGTTTTTTTTTTGTATTTAGGAGGGATAATAACCTTATTTTGTATTGCTTTCATGGCAAGAATCACTGGGTTGTTGTAGGTTTTTTCGGGCTATATGGCCATGTTCTAGAACATGGCCATATAACCCAAAAAACCTACAACAACCCAACCTCTTGCCCCCATAGCTACATAGTAAGCTGCCCCAAGTTCCTTTTGGGAGATGATGGAGGGATACAAATATAGTAGTAGTAGTAGTGTTATAGCTACAACATTGGCTTTACTTTTCATGCTTTTAGTGTAAAAAGCACTGTGTTTTATTTGAGTGTGCAGACATTTCACAAGGCTATCATGTGCTCTAAGGCACTAAGACACTAGGTTAACTCTGACATTAGTCAGAGTGAAGCAGTTGCATCAGGAAACAGATTTTGGCTACCATGAAAAGATCTTTACATATGTGCTACCATTATGTAGTGGCTCTGAACACAGTAAAACACCCTAGCCTAGCCATGCTGTACTATTTCTGAAAAAGTAACCTACAGTCTCTCAAATATCCAAATATAGCTTTAAAGCACAACCTGTACCTTTTATTTCTCCAGAAGTACCTACCTCCAGCTCTTTCCCTATTCAGCAACCACCTCCCACTATAGTGCTGTCTTTTGAAAACTTTACAGTGTAAAGCCCAGTATATAGTAGAACTGTGTTCACAGAGAGACAGTGGCCCATGGTAGTATGGACAAAATATATTCAGTGATCAGCCTGCAAAGCATTTCAGGACAGTTGTATTCTCAATTAATTGCCATTTCAGAAGCACACACAAGGTAATTTCACATACAAGGTAGTAAATTTAGATGTCATCAGACCATAGCTAACTTTTACCAAACAATTTCTGATCACAGCTGTAACAACTGAGGGCTCTTGAGAACATAGTTGCAGATTATGTGGTGAGTCTAAAGTCAGCAAGGGAAACCATCATAGATATGTTTTTGAAATGGCACACTTTAAAGAAGACGCATTCTGCTTACCTTCTTCTCCTTTGGAAGTGTGATTTAATACTTCATCAACATCAAAGATGGCACAGGGTGACACAGCTGTCATTGAAGAAGGGGCTTTAACTCTTTCCTCTAATTTATTTCTGAAGTTGCTAAACAAGTTCCACATATTATTCCTCTGAATAGGATTATCTGAAAAGGCAGCCGCACTTTTGCTTCTTTGCTTCACAGATGGACACATTGTGTTCTTTTGATTATGAGCATTCCAATCATCCTTGGCAGATGTCCAGAGGTTCTCTTTAAGGGTAAACCTTTCTAGGAGAGTTGGCACATCTTCCACATTGGAATAGGAAAGAGGTTTATTTTTGTGAGGACTCTTAAGTGGACTGGTTTGTGTGCTGTAAACAGGAGAAGCACCACATGAATATGCCTCTGTTGGGGTGCAGGGACCATCAGATACTTTTGAACTTCCAATTCCAAATCCCTTTCCTTCAGGATTCAACACACTGAGTTCTGGCTCTGAAACATCAGGGTCTCCCTGATTCTTGCCATTTCTTAGACTTACAGAATCACATAGGGGATGAGGGAAATTGAAAAATGTGTTTTCTGAATGAACTTTGCCATGTGTGTCCTGGTCCTTTTTTAGACTTTCTGGAGAAGAAATACGGGGTTCCAAGATGGATTTCTTTATAGCATTGGCAAGTAGTCTCAGTGGTGGTTTAGGCTCAGTTGACATATGTTCTTTGGAAGAATGATCCACATTCTTTGGAAGTCTGTTTTCAAGAGGGAAAGCTGGCACATGATTACCTGAAAGTTTAGGAGATGTACCATAACTGGATTGTGTTGATATATTCTCATCTCTATGCAAATCAATATTCTTCTCATCTGGAATCCCTTCAATATGCTGTTGGATGCTTGTCCCGGCATCATTGCTAGCAAACAATTTGGCTTGGTGCTCCATTGAAAGAGTTAACCTCCTCATTATCTTGTTTTTAGCTTTGTTTAAATGTTTGTCTTGCTGTTCATTGCCAGACTGTGATGTTTTATCTCCCTCATCAGGGTTTACAGAGGATGTATCCCAATTCTTTGTAAACAGTCCTGAGGTCAGTTGTTCAGTATTCACAGTCTGGTTTCCTGACGATTGGTCTTTCACTCCAAGTTTAGGAGACAAACTTGGAGTTGAAGTCTGATCAACCTGAGAAAAGGATTTGCTCTGTGCTAAGGAATATCCTTCAGTGCAGTTGTAAAGGGAATAATGAGGTACATAGAAAGGGATTTCTCCAAAGTTATCTGTGGCATCCTTTTTAATAGGAAATGCTGGGTCATGGGGCTTGAAATGTCCTTTGGCAGTTTCTGGAATCTTGCTGGGAGATGTCAGCTGAAAGGAATGCATCAAATGATTATTTTTGGAAGAAAATGTTGCTATCACCCACACTTCTATTTAAGGAACATTTTCAAATAAATACATGAAAAAGTCCACTATCCCCATATAAGTATCAAGATGAGGTAGACTTTGGAAAACATTCCAGTAAAAGCAGAAAAAGGACACAGTGTAACAACTGAGTGTTATTGTATTATCATTATTTTAAATGCTCCTGGAAGCCATTCAAGATATTTCAGGATTCAAATATTTGTGGGAGTTCCCCTTGCAAAGAATTAAACGGCTATAGCAGACATGCAGCTAGGTTAGGGGAAAATGTATTCTGCATTGAAATACTTGAGTTGTGGCATTTTACCACATTGTGCTTGGATGTGACTGGTTGTTCTGAAATGAAAACTACCAGCCTAATTGAGGAAGAATCATGGGGCAGTGTGAGTGTAGGGTAATAATTACCAACATCTCCTTGATTTCCATTTGAACTGTAACCAGCTTGCACTTTTTTAAAAAGGAAAAAGAATATTCTCAAGTAATGTTATAATCTGATAAAATATCCTTTAAATCTGAACGGAAATAAAATAGTAGCTGCCATCAAAACTGGGTCTGGAGGAGCTACCACTGGAAATAAAATTAGGAAAATGTTGTTCTGGCTCATCCTAGACTCATATTTTCATGGCCTAGAAACAAAATTGTATAACAGAGAAGGGACTTTGGCCCTTTCCTGGTCTACTTCCCTCAGCATGCAAAGACTTTTTTTTTTATTCCCATAGGACTTGGGCAGAAAAGCTGAATATGATTTTTTAAGGGCAGGGGCTGCCTATAAACATGTTTTGGTTGTTCTCAAATGTGTTGAAATTAACCTGTTTATGTTTAGCATAGTGGGTTAAATCACGAGCTGCAGAAAATCTTGCCAACCAAAAGGTTGACAGTTCAAGCCCAGGTTGGGGTGAGCTCTCAACCGTCAGCCCAGCTTCTGCTCGCCTAGCAGTTCGAAAACAGCAATGTGAGTAGATAAAAAGGTACCACTTTGGTGGGGAAATAACAAAAGGCACCCATGTAGACATGCTGGCAATTTGATTGGGAGAGCATCTAAAGGACAACAAAGCTCCGTGGCATGGAAGATGGAACAACAGCATCCCCCTGTGGCCAGAGTCTAGCACAGCTCCAGATGCTGGAGATGGAAAAAGATGGGAAGTCTTAACCTCTGTTTTTGTACTCTTTGTTGATTGAATGTTTGCTGCGTATGTGTACTGTAATCTGCTCTGAGTCCCTTGGGGAGATAGGGCGGAATATAAATAAAGGATATTATTATTATTATGTTCTTGTCATTTCTTTTTAAATTGCTCCTAAATGCTTATTTTATGGCTTACTCTGCATTTGAGTCCTCTCCAACTGATTTGGAGATTAATCCAGATTAATCCTCTATCATCCCACTTTTTCAACTGCTTTTAAGATAACATAGTTTCTCCTTTTCTCTCCAACCCTCCACCCCCCCCCCCCCCCCCCCCCCGGGTTGTCCTCAATTTACTTCAGTTGCTCCAAATGTAAAGTAATTTACACCCCTTTAGCTCAGGAGACACTCAGGCAAAAAACAAACTGTATCTCCTAGCTTGTATTCTTCTTCATTAGCCTTTGGTATCTGTGATGTGACTTGCTCACACTTGTGTCCCAGTTTTCATCGGTGAAATGTTGGAGAATTGATATTTCTGAAATCAAAAATTTCTACCATCTTGAGCTATTCACATAATATTATTACTGAAAAACAAATAAAATAACTAGATGTGAGAAGCAGCCCTGGTGGTTTTTCATGCACTGTGATACTCCTCCTAAACAACACAGTAAAATAAGGCAGTTGTAGAGTCCTTGGATAAGATAAAGAAAATCTACTAAAGTTACAGCGTTTGAAATTAACAAGTTTTTTAAAAAGTAACATAATAACAAAAATCCCCATTGTTACTACCAATTATTGGCATCCTACCTCCATGTCAACGAGATCATCTTGATCATTGTTTTGGAAGATGATAGAGAGGTCTTTGGAAGATGATCCATTTTTCTTGCCATGCAGTAGAGGAAATGCTACAAAATAGAAAGTGGATGTTCTTTTAAAACTGCAATGAAACCTTTTCAATTCTTCGCCTTCCAACAGAACTGATAATATTTATCATGCTGCTCATGTGTACATATTGTCTCATATTAGGAAATGTACTTGTCATTGCTTGGGTTGCGGTTGATGATTTCATATTTGATTTGAATGAAACTAAAGGTTGGATGGCAGTATATATGATTTTTAAAATTTTGTCTCATACCATATTCATGAAAAATAGACCCAAACCATGCCTGTGGGAGCAGACCAGAGTGAAAACTTTGCCTACTGGTATTAACCTCCCAGGACCCAACCCTGAAACTGGCCAAGCCACCTGATTATCCAGCTTGACTTTCCTTGAGTCTGCAATCTCTGAGAAAAAAGACACTGCGCACCATGGCTCAGCCATCTCTCCATGTCTCTGTGGTTCCCGGTGAGCAGGGAGGACTTAAGAGTGTTTTGATGTTATGATTTAATTGGTCAGGGTTTTAATGCTTTATTTATTGATGTATGTGTATATGCGGCATCAAATTGTTGCCATTGTAAGGCCGCCTTTCAGGATGAGAAGGACAAGTTACAAATGTGGCAAATAAATAAATAAATAGACACTGTAGAATGAATGGAGTTTGAAACCACTTTAACTGCCATGGCTCAATGCTATGGAAACCTGGGAGTTTTCGTTTTGCAAGATCTTTAGCCCTCTTTGCAAAAGAGTGCTGGTGCCTCGCCAAATTATAAATTTAAAAATGGATCCTTACATTCTTATAGATTGGTTACTTTTGTGTCTGATCTTTCCTACAATAACCTCAAGGGAGTAGACACTGTGAGATAGGTCTAGACTTACAACTTCATCAAATGGACTAAAATCGGCAGCATATATAGTTCCTCTCCATTTGCCCCATGGAGCCTGGCAGCTCCCATCCCATGATGTAGAACTATTTCTGGCGGGGTCTGTGGCACAAATGGAGAGTAATTGCCGTATGCTGTGGCAGCCACAACATGGGAAGCTTCTTGTGTTGCATAGGGATCAATGGGGGAAGCCATTCAATAAACACTTCTCCCGCATGATGTGGTAAAGGGTACATGGGGCGATGGGTTCCCCATTCCCCTCTCACCTAGGCACTGCTGTATTCACCACAATGTTATACAGTCATCTGCAAATACAAGTGGTTCAAAGTCACCTAGTGAGTTTCATGGCTCAAGAGAGACCAGTTCCTCAATCTCACAAATCCTAGTCCCGAACTGTAACAATTAGACCAGCATGTTTCTATGGCAAACTATAGAAGTGAGAAGTATGTAAGATGTTGCTTCCTCAAACTATGGGTTTTTTTCTCCCCTTCAAATTCACTATCCAATTATTGACTTTTACCCCAGCTTTTAGACCTCCTGATTGCTAATGGAATCAGTCTTATCATTATGTCTCAACAAAAGCAACCTTATTACCTGAGAAATCACCATCACCCTGCCAACTAAGAAGTTGTATCTGCTCTTCTAATTGCACCTTAAGAATGGTGTGGTAGCATTTTGACTGTTCTGTTATTTCCCATCAAAGCTCAGCCCTTTCCACAATGGAATTCAAGACCGGCTCTTCCCTTCATTGACTGAATGGTTGTGCTTTGCTCCTGGTGGGGCCAATTATGCTCAGCAGGGGACAAAAGCAGCAGCTGTCAAAGGCTTTGGAAAAAACAAACTTAACAGAGGCAATGTTTTTCTTCTTCTTCACAACATGGGAAAGGATGCTTTCCCCTGCAATCGGGATTCTAACTTAATATCAAATGTGTAGATGCATTTTTGTCTGTAATAACAGAGAAAATATTGGTAAAGCTTTGAATAATACAACACATTAATAAACATATATGCTATTGCGAGTCCAGCACCCTGAAAAACAAGAGTAATTATTTTAGTTGATATTGCAGAGTTAAATACACAAAGTGCAGCTTGAATCCAGCATTTCTCCTCAGCCATACAATCTGGTACCAAATTCATCTCCTAGCAAACAGCATAAAGTCAATGAAAAAACATTTTATGGACTGAGGGTAGAATAGCATGGCACCATAACAACCACAACAACAACAAGAACAAGAACAACAACAACAACAACAACAACAACAACTTTATTTTTGTATCCCGCCTCCATCTCCCCGAAGGGACTCAGGGTGGCTTCCATGGGGACAAGCATGAACAGACATAGATTAAAAGCACAATGCTATAAAATAAACAACATCATAATAACATAAGACAACATCATAAAACAACCAATAGCCTAATCAGTAATATATACTAAACTCAGAGGGTAGGAGCTTGTGAAATATAGTTTTCAGACAGGGACTGGTGGAGGAAGTGCAAGAGCCGATAATAAATTAGGACTGCAAGGGCAATATCATTTTAAACGCCAGATCTATAGGATAGGGGATAGTGATAGAGTGCAGGGGCTGATAGTAAATTATAGTTGCGGGGGGGGGGGGGGGGGGGGGGGGTGTTATCTGACAAACTGTTTAATCATAGGAACAGTTGAACATCCACGTTTTTAGGTCCTTAGGAAAAGTGGACAGGGTGGGTGCCAGTCTAATCTCCCTGGGCAGAGAGTTCCAGAACTGAGGGGAGACACCACTGAGAAGGCCCTCTCCCTCGTCCCCACCAACCGCGCTTGAGACAGAGGTGGGAGTGAGAGAAGGGCCTGCCCAATCCACGCACCAATCCAAGTCAAGGTGCATATCTAAAGATGAATGTTTTTACTAAAACTTAATAAAAACATTGAATGCTTCTGGAACATGGCCATACAGCCCGAAAAAACGTACAGCTACCCAGTGATTCTGGCCATGAAAGCCTTTGACAACACATTGAAAAAATAAAGTTTGGTAGAAAATTCCCAAATCTACTGCCTCAGGCAGCTGCAACACTGTCAGGCCTGTCCATTTCATTATTCTAGAAATTTATGACTATCTCTATCTTTTCTCTGACACTTCTGTGCTTCCTCCTTATACCATGCTATCCAGATAAATGCTAAAACCAAAAAACAGAATAGAAATGACAAGAGCTGATAGAATCATAGAGTTGGAAGAGACCTCATGGGCCATCCAGTCCAACCCCCTGCCAAGAAGCAGGAAAATTGCATTCAAAGCACCCCCGACAGATGGCCATCCGGCCATCCAGTTCACCAGTATGAATTCTGTGTGAACAGGCACTTGCATTTCAGGAGAAGCCAATACATTCATTTGATAAGAAAGTCTGAACCTTTTCTTATCAAATGATAAGTGTATACTGATAGAAAGATGTGTGAATGATCTGCTAATCTGATTTAAAGGGCAATCTGACACTAATGTGACTGCCTTTGAAACAGATTCAGGAAGAATCCTTTTATTTTTATATGAAATGCATACATTTAAATAAAGAAATTGAAATTAAATTGAAAAGTAACTATGAAAAGTAACTGTTTTGTGAATTTTATTTATAACCAAGATGCTCTGGATTTTTCACAGATATTTAAAGCATATAATATTTCGTTCAACAGCAAAAGGAATCAAACTAATTAAAATTAGTGTTTAGCCAATGAACTTGGTTGTGACATGGTCTTCAACTCACTGTGTCCTTCCGGTAGGCTTTTAGCACCCTCTGGAGATTCTTTGTAAGACACACATGGGATTTTAAATACAAAATTAAAGGGGGAATGTTATAGGCAAAATGCCTAAACAAACATTTAATTATGAAGAACAAGCTGAAAAGTGAGTTGGCAGTAGGTCAGCCACCTGCACATCTCTCCCTTTAAGGAAAGATCAAGGTTTTGCCAATTGTTTGCTTTTTAGCTAGTCAACTAAAAGTGCAGCTATATAAAACAAGTTTTTTATGGCCTTCAGCTACAAAAATAAAAGGGAAAAATGGATGCTGCAGTAATGACAGCAAATGTCAGCAAAAGAAACATCAGAGATGTGCCATTATTCATGCTCTAGACTCCACTCTGTGTGTGTGTTTAAAAGTTTCCTCTGACATTAAGTCTTCTTGTGCCTGACTCTGAGGGGTGGTGCTCAACTCAGTTTCTAAGCCCATGAGTTGCCCTTGTCCATAGACAACGCTTCCAAGGTCATGTGGCCGGCATGACTGCATAGAGCACAGTTACCTTCCCACAGAAGCATACCTATTGATATATTCACATTTGCATGTTTTTGAACACACACACACACACACAGTGGATGATATATTAAGTTCTCTGTGGCTCAGAACCATCTTTTCCATGATGCGGAAAGAGCCAGACAAATACAGTTGGATATAGTGGGACTTGAAGGTTTGTGCATTCCTAGTCAGCAATTTCAACAAGACTGGTGGGGATGTGGATGCAGATATGCTGAAGCATGCATGCTCACATCACCACCATTTAGTAATATGGGGCATGATCATCCCTATTTTCTTTTCAAATCTGCATGAGTTCCTTGAAGCAAATCCCCATGGATATGGCAGGCACACTACAAAGGTCCTCTGTGTAGTTGGCCTGAGCAATAAAATGCATATTTGTGTGACACTACTTCAGCCTGACAGCTAACTGGAATTTGACCTAAAAAGTAGCAAAATGAAATAGATGGTCAAGAAACATTGTGGCTAAATCTTACTTGACTGAATTTTCTTCTTCCAGTTCTGATATTTCTTGGAGGTTGAAGAGTCCCGAAGACTATACGCTCGTTGCAGAGCTTGTAAAAAAATGAAAGAGAAAGAGACCTTTAAAAAATCCTTTACAAAAGACTTGTACTAAAATAACAGAGGCCCCAAGCCTTTCTCTAAGATCAAACACCTCATTTGTTTATATGGCCCCAAGGCTGGAAAATGTTGCAATTCAGAGTATTTTCACCCAACACTTTCCTCCCTTTCCTTTTGTATTTATAATGGTGATATAAATCTACTTTGGATAAAGATAGCCTCCATTAAGAAAATCTCCTTTATACAAAGATACAAAAAAGAGTTGGAGATATTTAGAATTATATGTGAATATCATAATCCCATAAAAGCTTTGTTTTAAGAATCAGAGTGTCTTTATTTTTTCTTTTTTGATAGGTTGTTTTATATATTGTCTGCCTATTGTTTTTCATAATTTAAGTGTGTGATGTGTTATATTATGTTTATATAAGTTTAATGCTCAGCTATTTTTCAATTAGTTTTATAATTTTATGTTGCAATTGTTTGATCTACTGTCTGTGATTTGATTTGTCATTTGCTTGTTTCAGGATTGAATTTTTGCCACTTTGTCAGTTTTGTTGGAAACCGCCCTGAGTCTCCCTGGAGAGATGGGGTGGGTTATAAATAAAGTATTATTATCTGATACACAACAAGATTAGTACACAGCAAACAAGATCACTATTCTGGCGTTTGTATTTGAGCACATGTCGAACACTTCCAAAGTGTCTAGGACTGTGTGATGTATCGGCGAATAATGCATGCAGTGTCCAAGTAGGGTGGCCTCTTGCAGCTGACAGATGGTCATTTTGTCAGTGCCAATTGTTTTTAAGTGCAGGCCAGGGTCTTTAGGCACTGCACCCAGTGTGCCAATCACCACTGGGACTGCCTTTACGAGCTTGTGTCAGAGTCTTTGCAATTTGATCTTTAAATCCTCATATCATGCAAGCTTTTCCAGTTGCTTCTCCTCAATTCTGCTGTCACTTGGGATTGCAACAGTGATGATCCACACATTGTTTTCCCCCCCATGATCATGAGGTCAGGAGTATTGTGCTCCAAAACTGTCAGTCTGAATTTGGAAGTCCTAGAGTAGTTTGATGTGTTCGTTTTGTATAGCTTTTTCAGGCCTGTAATCCCACCAGGTTTTTTTTTGGTCACAGTCAGATGGTATTTGTACTATTATTATTATTATTAGTAGTAGTATTAAGTGTTATATCGATACATTTTTTAAAAAACCAAACAAAGTAACATAGAGTAGGCCCTTCATATCCATTGAGCTTTGGATCCAGGATCCCCTATGGATACCCAAATCCATAAATACTCAAGTCCCATTGTACATTACACTAGTGTAGTAAAATTGTGTCCTTTATATAAAATGGCAAAATCAAAGCTTGGTTTTAGAATTTATTTGGAGAATATTTTTAAGTCATAGATGTTTGAATCCAAGACTGTGGAAGGTCCACTGTACTTTTTTTTAAAGCATCAGAGTAAAGACAGACAGCTTTCAAGACATTCAGTGGGCAAGTGAGTTGACGTTTAAAGATTCATTAACCACTAGAGGGCAATATTTACCAAGCAGTGCTTCCCGGTTGTGTGTCCTAGCTCATCTCTTTTCCATGGCTGTTTCATTTTAGATTACACTATGTAACAGAATTCTAAAACTTTTCTGTTCCTGGCTTGAAAGTGTTATTTCTATTTGAATTGGTTGAGAGTCGATGAGATATTCATTGAAAAAGTATAGCAAAATATGTTGCGGGATGTTCTGCAAAAACAAAGCTATGCAGTTTAATAAACCTTTTCCATGTTTTTATGATAGAACCAATTAGGAAATTACATGTATAACCCAGGAACAAACGTCATGTTACATAGTGTTATTAACACCACAAGAGTTAATTTGTGCAAGTCATTTCTATTGCTCTTATTGTTTCTCTTGCATGGGAGCTTTCACAGTGGAAAAAGTAAATAAGGGAGAACATGTAACATTTGCCTTTCTTGATACAAGTTATTCATCACCAAGAACATTCTCATGGGAATAGGGTTAAAACAATGAATACCACTTATTGGTCAGGGAAAAAAGCTGTTCATACTCCTCGGTGCAACATTGAGCTTGAGAAAAGATACGTGAAGGAAACAAAGATATAAGTCTGCCAAGGAGGGAAAGTGAGGACAAGCTAGAGAAAAGGACATGATGTACTGTGTGAAGTCATTGGTGACAATAGAGATCATTGTTGACAAAGAGAACTAGAAAGCGATAAGAACAACTTTCTGAATACATCTGATCCTTGAAAATAAATTTCACTATATTTGGACAAAAGTGTGGGAAAAGAGAAATCTATGCTGTTTCACATAGGTGCCTTTAGCTAAACATCTCAGCTGGGTTCTTTGATGCATTTGAAAAGCTAATATTTACTAAAAGAGCAGTCTATTCATGTAAAATATTACATTTTTATCAAGTAATTGTTCTGAAAGTGTATCTTTGCAACACACTGTCAGAACATTCAACTGAACCTTCACCTGCTGTTTCTCTATACAAAGTAATACAATCTGCAAGCCTGTAGCTATAGAGCAAGGACAGGTCAACTGGAATATCCAGGCATTTTGAAAGAAAACAATGCTCAGTTATAATTTTAAAAATTCTCTTTAGAAGCCTGCCAATATTTAATGTCATTAAATGTGCACGTTTGATAACATATCATTTTATGCATTTGTATTTTGTTATTAAAGAAGAGTCAGTGCGATGTTGTGGTTTGAGTGTTGGACTCTGAGGACCAGAAATCAAATTCCAGCTCAGCCATGGAAACCCACTTGGTGATCTTCAGCAAAGTGCACTCTCTCAGCTTCATAGGAAGACAATAGCAAACCTCCTTTGAAATTATCTTATAAAGAAAGAGCAACAGGACAGATTCATCTTAGAGTCAACAGAAGTCAGAAATTACTTAAGGTCACACAGCAATAGCAACAGCAACAACTGAAATGTACTCTTTGGTGGGCTTCTCAATCACAGTACTCTGCTTCCTGGAAATGGATGAGAATTTTAACTGAGTTCAATTTTGATAATGAATTTATTAAAATTTGCAATTTTTTCATTAAAAAATAACTTGTCTATTTGTTTAAATGCGTGCTTTTAAAATAACTTTGAATGCTTAATATTGACATGCCTGGGACAGGGCTGTTGTTGATTCATCCCAGCTAGAGTAGACACATGGGGAGATCGCATTGATTCAATTGATTATCTCCAGTTAAAAGTGATTATATGATTTAAGCCTGGATGGGAATCTAATTTTATTCAGCCATGTTAGTAGAAAGTTTCCTCTTTTCTTCTCCAATAGGTTAATCTTCAAGGTCTATATGGCAGGTGTGTACAACAGCAATTCCATGTTGGGAATAGCTAAAACCATTGGTGGGGAATAATTCTGTTCCAAGATTTACTAATTCCTTCATAATCAGTTTTTTCCCAGAGGAGTTATTGAGCTCAAGGCAGATGCATTATTGGTGGCCATGTTGCTGTTCCTTCTGAAGAACTATACATGGGGGGGGGGGGGGGGTGTGCAGTGAAAAAATATATAATTGGGACAGGGGGTCATGGTATACACAAGAATGAAGGAAGAAGGTCACTGACAGTCCCATGTGATGAAAACAACTTAAGGTTTTAAAAATTCCACTGCAAAGCTGTCAGACTTCCTCATTTCTCATTTCTGTTTTGATTGACAGAAACTTAGTCAACTTGTTATCTCAAAGGCTCAAGAAGAAGACATGTAAGAACATAGAAACTCAAAACCATTAAAGTACCATTCAAAACACTTAAGTTGCACATTCGCTCTCTGGTCACATCAGCTTTTAAAGGCCACTTTATTAATGTATATTAGTTGCACCATTCTGGAAACATGAATTCATAACACAAATATTTACTGCTTAAATCAATTTACCATGTGCAGCTTTGGATTTTCCAGGGCCTTCTTTCTCCTTCATCAAATCTGTGTTTGTTAACAGGGGCCTCCTTGGCGCAGGCAATAGTCCTTCATTAAATCCAGAGGTGGAGGAATCACCATAGAAATCAGGTTCTAATTCTGAGCTAAGAAGAAGAAGAAAAGAAAGACCTGCTATTGGGATTAAGCACTAGAAGAAAGTTTTACAAAGCAATAGTACATTGGCTTTTCAACTTTCATGCTGTTCCAGTAATTAACAATACTGGCCTAAAACAATAGCCAAGTGTCACCTTAAAAACTAAGCTGCCTCGGGTCCCATGTTTGGAGAAATGTAGGAAATAAATTAAATACATCAATACATTGGTTGTTATTATTTTTTTGATGAGACACACTGGTGACTCTACTGATTGCAAATACCCAAGCTATATCAATTACACATATGACCTCATCACAAGAGGGTTTTTTCCCATCCTAGGATGCTGCCAGGAGGGAGCCCGGTGGAGCACATCACATGATGTAGGGCTACTTCCAGCAGGGCTCCATGCTGGCTCCATCTTGGCTACGTGTTCAGGGCTGCTCTGAGAACATGGGTGACTCCATGTTCTCATTCAAGAAGCTTGGGACAGTGTGGGATGATGCTGGGGGCAGACAGGAAATGCCACGTGATGGTAAGGGGGCGATGTGAGGTGCTGCCCAACAGTTTCCTCTGATGCCCCACAGATTCCCCCACTGTCCCCTGACTTGTAGACCTCCATCTGATGAGGTCTTTAGTTGTTTCAAAAAATCTGAGGTTGTCTCATTTTTACCCTTATGTCTGCTTAATACCTTGCGCTCTTTTATGAAACTTAATGTGAACCCTAGGCTATCTTCATTAGAGCTACCAGACTTTTCTAAAGTTTTGGTGCAATTTTATTCAAGATATAAAAAGTCAGAGAAATATTTCACATCAGTTCTTCTTAGACCTTCCTATTTGAGGTCACTAATTCGAAAAAATGCACATTGTCTGACTAGACTTTGCGACAATTATTAAGGATGTGTGCTTCACATTCCACACCCCCTTCCATGTTCTTGGAAGCTCCATTTGTCACTTTCTTCCTTGCAAGCATTCCACACTTATATTTATTTAATTTCTATTTTTTAATGTTTGAGTTTCTCTCCCCCCCCCACCTACAAAAAAATCTGTCTCTTTTGGATTGATTCACTAATTACAGTAGAGAAACAGCATGTCTTCTGACCCACATGGCGTTGGGTTTTTCCATTCAACTTGGCATAGAGTGACTACTGTAATAGTTCTATAAAGCTAGTACAAACACACCATGTTACAGGAAGGTTGAACAAAGCAATTAAATACAAAATGACATCCATTAAGCCAAGAGTAAACAAAAGGTAGATCAAGATCATTCTGCTGGCTCTCTGATTGACTTGCAGTTTGAGCCAGTATTTCCCAACCTGTTATTTATATTTAACTATAGTTTCCCAGAACAACTCCCCTTTTCAGAACTAAACCTTCCTGCTTAAAAAAAAAATTGAGAGTAATCCAGAGTAGCTGTGCACTTTGTCCAGTTTGACCACTTACACCAAATATAAGGGTTCAGAATTCTTCACTTCCAAGGCCTAAAAACAATTTTAGTCCCAGCTAATGTGGATCCATTAAATCAGTGGTAATGTGGTATGTTAACACGTATAGAATCCACAAATCCATGGAATCAGTAAGTTCAACTAGGGTAAATCTATTGATTCCGTGGACCTTCTGTAGTCATGTGATTTTGGCCTAGGTGTTTGTTTTGGTTCCATCCTCATGTTGGTGCATCTTGGGGATTCAGAGGATTAAAAAAAATACCCGGATGCTTATCTTCTCCTGCTCTAAGCTAACCTTTGCTTTAGCCTTCAGTTGGGATTTTTTTTGTGTGGCTTGCCATTTTCAGAGCATTCCAAGATCCATCCCCACCCATCTCCATTTTACAGAATGTCCCTAATTGTATCAATTTGTAGTCCTAAGCAATGAAGTGCAATGCTTTCTTGTCAGTCTTTCTATGGGAAATGAAGGGGAGAAAGAAAACAACAGAATTTGCTTCTCTTATTTGTTTCTATTTTCTATAGTTTCTCACAGAAGAGAATTAGAAACTAACAAGGGTGCATTTGTTTCATTTTAAAAATGAACGTGGATGCATTTAGAAACAAATCCACTTTTCAAACTGATGTTTCATTATACAGCATTTTCCCCTTACTTCTGTACTACATGTGATTTGTTGTTTGTTACTATGTGCCTTCAATTTTGTGCCAACCCTAAGGCAAGTAGGCACACTAAATCATTCTAGCACTCAACGGCAGCTTTGAATACTGCACCTTAATATTTTTGTTCTGTTCTCAGGGCTATCTATTAACTGTAGTAAGGTAAAGGTTTTCCCCTACATTAAGTCCAGTCATGTCCAACTCTGGGGATTGGTGCTCATCTCCATTTCTAAGCTGAAGAACCAGCATTGTCCGTAGATACCTCTAAGGTCATGTGGCCAGCATGATTGCATGGAGTGCCATTACCTTCTGCTGTAGCAGTTCCTATTGCACTACTCACATTTGCATGTTTTCCAACTGCTAGGTTGGCAGAAGCTGGTGCTGACAGCAGAAGTTCATGCCGCTCCCTGGATTCAAACCTGTGACCTTTTGGTCAACAAGTTTAGCAGTTCAGTGGTTTAACCCACTATGCCACTGGGGGGCTCCATGACATATAAACCGTGATATATCTTTTAAAAACACATTCTTGGTCACATTTTGCCTGTACTAATCAATATCCAATCTGTTAATTGTCAGAATCAGAGCTTGGAAATGTTACTGTTTTTTTGCAGCAAGGTTGGCTGAGTGAGTCTGGATTTCCAAACTCTGATCACAAGCACCTGCTATATTTTTTCTGTGACATCATAATTTATGGATATTTAAACATATTGCATAACATTCACAAGTAATGCTGGAAAACATAGGTTCAAATAAGTCCTGTATCCTATGAATTTATCAGAGTAGTGAACTTTAACCTACAATCTGTTTTCTTGGCAGAAACCTCCACTAACCCATGAAGGACTGTAATTTTTTTTTCAGAGCCAATCTTGATTCAATTACACCCTCCTCCATGTGACTCAGACCACTGTGTGGGATGTAGAGATTTCCTGTAAGTGAATCATGTGTCTACAAGAAGTTCAAGACAGCTGTAAAAATTACTGTTTCTACCTCTAGCAATTTTCTTTTCTTCCATAATCCATAGCACCTACTGTGTCTAGTTTAACTAATAAGTTGTAAGGTATGCCTTCCTTCTTTCCTTCTTTCCTTCCTTCCTTCTGTCCTTCTTTCCTTCTTTCAGTTATGATGATATAAAGTCATTTCCAAATACCTGCTTCCATCACTGTTAACTGTCACACGAACAGCCGAAAGGTTGTGCTCCGTTCTCTTTTCTTCTGGAGTAACTCTTACCAAGGCCCACTCAGAAGACACAGAGGGATGCCTCCCTTTCAAGTCAAAACCAGGGACATTTCCAGATTTCTTTGGAAAGACTGGCTCATCCATTGAGCAGGTGTAGCAATCTAGAAAAAATGAATGATATGTCTTAGTTTCTTGGTGTGACATCACCTATTCAGGGGTGCCTTCAATGGTACAACTTTGAAATGGAAGAAGCATGAACAATTGACACTTCTTGTGTACTTCTCATAATACCTGATAAAAACTTGTGTATCTTCCCTGCCAAAAGGTATCATGACATTGCCACACTGCCTAGATTGTATGAAATATGAACCGGAAGCAAAGTACTATGTCTTAGTTAATAGTGAAGTGTGCTGCCTTGAAAGAAGAAATAGTCTCCCTCAGAAACTGAAACTGAATTTTATGGATTGCCCAAATTCGTAATTACATTCTCTATTCAAGCATACACTTTGGGAACAGTCAGTGGAAACATTGCTTGAATGCCTGCAATTTCCCACAATGGCTACAGCAGCAATACATCATATGTTGTTTGTAGAGACAGTTGTCACATGGGCTCTGACCCTAGAATAACTTCTCTGTGAATTAAACATTGAGAGGACATCAACAAAGACCCTTCCAGGAACTGTGCATTTGTTCTAGGCATAGTAAATATATTCCCACAATTTATTAGTTTGAATGTCTGAGCATATAATATTGACTGAATCCGACAACTAGAGTTACCACTGTAGCTAATTATGTGAAGTATTAATTAAGAATAACACTCAGCACTGGGCCTAAGAACAGTGTTTCAGCACTGGGCCTAAGAACAGTTGTGGATAAAAGATAAGCATCTCATTTAATGTAAACAAAATCTGAAGACATCTCCCCCCCCCCCCCCCCCACACACACACACTTATACACACACCATATAAGAACATCAAGGTCAATTTGGGAGCAATTTCTTACCCCAAATGTCCAAATATTCTGATTACAACTAGTATTTGGTTTGGCTGAAAATGGTGACTTCAGCCCACTACTGTTATAATGCCAATGTACCAGTGTGTTTGTTGGAGGCAAAAATTATCTGCTATCCCCTGTGCAGTTGCCCACTCTAATATAATGAGCATCCCCACAAAGTCACCATGATGTTAATGTCCTAAACAATGGAATTTAGGCCTCCACGCTTCTTTGTCTTTTTCCACTTAGACTAATTTAGACTGCTCAATCATAATTGAATGCATCATAGATTTAAACATAGTTCAGCATGTCATATCCTAAACTGTGGGTGATTGTAACTGATTGAAACAACCCAGCTTCATAATTAAACTGAACTACGCCATCATAGTATTTCAATACCTTAATGGCTTTAATCTAAAATAAAGAAAAACATGAGGGGCATGAAGTGGAGAGCAGAGTGTATGAGCATAAGTCTCACTAAGTCTTGTTCTTGCTGCTTAAATCCTATCAGCTATCTTCCACTTTACATGCCCTGGTATCATATAACTTGAACACCTGCTAACTTTAAAAAAATCCAGAGACCAAAAGTGAGAAATGTCAGTTCACTCATGCATTTTGTCCATGAAAAACCAGAATAAAGCAACACTGACTACACAGTGTGAGTATTTTGTTTTTTTGCCTTCATCCAGGCAACATTCCTATTTGAGAACATTTTCAAGTTTCTTCATAATAGCCAGAGTCAAAGAGCCCAGCATGAGAGTGACTCTTCTACTGTGTAAACAATGATATTCTAAGCAACCCCTGCCTAGTTTCCTGGTAGGCTAGGATATATCAAGGCTCAAATTGTACACAGTGCTTAAGATTTGTGACTCCACGGTATCTTTCTTTGAAACTTAAAAGCAATAACAGCAAGAGGATGATCTGATTGAGACCATATCACAGGGTAAAAAACAGATTTGCCATTGCCCTCCTCTGAGGCAAGAGAAAGATGGATACATATTATTATATGCATTCAAGTTGTTTCTGACTTATGGCGACCCTAAGATCACCTATTAAAAGGTTTCTGGGAAGATTTGTTCAGAGAGCATTTGCCTTTGCCTTCCTCTACGACTGAGAGAGTGTGACTTGCCCAAGATCACCCAGTAGTTTTATGAATGGGGATTCAAATCTTGGTCTCTAGAGATGTAGTCCAATGCTTAAACCACTACACCACACTGGCTCCTCCTGCTGACCCAGGGTAACTTAAAAGTATGGGAAAGAGTGATTACATTAGTCTGGGATTTCTGCCTCATGGAATCACTGATGATAATGAGAGAAGTGGCAATTGGCCAGCCTAGAGGATTCAAGTGACTTACAAAGAAAATATGAGTTCTTTTGATCATCAAAAGATCTGTTCCATAAATTGTAGGAGCCAACTAAAGTTTTCTCCCTTGTTGTTAGACTAATACTTTGTTGCCTCCCACAGCTATTTATTTTCAGCCATGCCCACCCACCCTTTTCCTTTGGATCTTTGCCTGCCTGTCCTGAATGCTGTGCACCAACCTCTCTCTTAGATCAAACTTTCTGCTTACTATTTTGTAGCTTTTGGACTTAACTCATGTCTGTTTTGGATCTCATTCTTTTTGGCAAGACTGAGAGCAAAGCAAAACTTCTCAGGGTAGTAATCAAGACAGGAATTACTATGTACTTGTTTGAGCCCTCGTCACTTAGAAAACACATTGTGTCTCCAAACTACAAAAGTGCACCTGACAACCACACCCTCCTGAACTGGCAGTGTTGAAGCACACCTCAAAAAACCATTATCCCTTGAAGAAATACTTGCTTCAATTGAAGTTGCCACTGCTTTATCAAACTGGTCTTGGGAACACTATGATGCCTTTCTAGTTTGAGATTTACCTAAACTCTAAAGAATTTGTAGAAAATGGAGGGGTACTATGTAACAGTGAAAAAACTGAACAAATAGTGACAGCTATGCAAAGGCTAATTGAATGAAATCAGAGTCCATTGGAAAGACAGTGGCAATTTCAATGGGCACTTTTGTTCCCGGGAGGTCAGGGAGGACCATGCAGAGCACTTGGTGGTTCAAATTGTGGGAATATATTTACTATGCCTAGAACAAAGACACAGCTCCTTAAATGGTCTTTGTGGCTGGGAGGAGATTGAATGGGGAGTCATGTGGGTATCATAGTCAATGGGAGCTGGAGCATCCCAGACTCTCATTGGTTGAATTGGGGGATTGGCAAATGCCTTAAAAGATGGCTCCAGACAGAAGAAGACAGCTATTTTTTTCAATCTTCTACTTACCGGTTACACTTGTCACAACTTTGGAATTGGTGGCATGGTCTTGGATCCTTATATTTATGCCAGGTAGCTAGGCCCTGGCATTTGGAGGGGGATATTCTAGTAGGCAGTGGTTTATGGCCTGTCCAGATGTGGCATCCACCATTATAATTCAGTGACCATGGGACAGGTCCAGCAGTTGTCAAGTTCAAGACCGCAAGCCAGTCACAGGGTTTTTAAAATTAGATCCTTGACCCATAAGGTGTGCCAACCAATTCAACTGTAACCAATAAAGTTATGGCATGTTATCCAACACATGAATTTTGTTTTTCATTGCGCACAAAATACTTACCTCCACACTGGCCTGGGAAATGTCTGTTTGCTAATAAGGTAACCTAAACATGAGGAAGAGCTTCCTAATGGTTAGAGTTGTTTGAATACACTGCCTTTGAGTGTGGTGGAGTCTCCTTCTCTGGAGGTTTTTAAACAGAGGCTCGATGGCCATCTGTTGGATTGCTTTGACTGTGTGTACCTGGAAAGCAGAGGATTGACCTGGATGCCTTGTGATCTGTTCCAACTCTATGATTCTGTTATTATTTGATTATTCAAATTGCTGTCAGTTATGAGGCTGCCTTGAGTCCCCTTTGAGGTGAAAAGGGTGAGATACAAGTATGGGAAATAAATAAATCTATATATATAATAAAATATTTGTACATGTGTATGTTTGTATGTAGCAGCTTTCTGATTGGTTCCCATTTACACTGGCCACTGCAAGCCCCCATGAATGATGGGTCTGGACCAAACTTGACACACAGAACCCCCATGACCCACTTTATGTCCTGGCGCAGTTTAGGGGAGGATGGGCCACAGATGATGGGATTTGCAGTACTTTCAATTGCTTCAACTCCCACAGACCATTGTGAGCCCCTTCAATGAAGGATCACAACCAAACTTGTCACACAGAGCCCCCATGACCCACTTTACATCATGGTGCAGTTAGGGGGAGGATGGGCCCCTGGGCAATGCTAGGTCCCCAAGATAGTAAATTAAAAAAATCCAGGGTAACCAAAGAATATGGCTTCAGCAACACAGTAAGGTAAGTAATTCCCAAAGTGTGACAACTTCACATTTGAGCACACAGTGTTAACTAAATAGACTGGTGATTTGTAGATAGTGGCGAAACTAGAGCTATAGAGTACCAAGCATAAAAGTATAACAAGGGAAACGGTTGTCCATCAGAGATTATGACGCCACTCAAATGTTACCTTGGGGGACAGTTTTGAGCAGCTGTTCCATGGCTATAATTATCACAGCTCTCCCTTACATTCTGAAACTACCATCCTACATATCTTTTGGGCTGGACACAAAAGGCAGGCTCCGAGAAAGCTTTCCAACTGGCAATGAGAACAGATTGTAGGGCCTTCTATGTCTAAGCACAGCCATCATCCAGGTCTAAACTGGATCTGGGACAATGGTTTGTCCTTCAATTTGTTCTTCCCTCCTCTTGTGACCAGTCTTTTTATTGAACAACAGGTTATGATCACAAGCAGCTGTGGTATAGTTACCCTGCCCTTGTTTTCAATAACCTCACACAGCATCCTTGTTGCAAGTACAGAACAACACAGCAGGTCACCAACAAAAGTGTGTGTGCGTGGATTGGGGGGGGGGATGACTCATGTCCAATTATTTTGATGCTTTCCACACTCCCTCCCCAAAAAGAAACACAGAAAAGGGTTTATTTTCTTCACTCGGCAAAAAAGGGTCAGAAATGGGGGAAAAATAAAAATCAATACACAGCAACAGAAGCAATTTTCCAAGAAAAATGATAACCTTTTATTACCAACCAATTAAGCGCCCTTATTCACAGATGCTGAGAAAAAGGAGGCAG